TTATAACTAAAAATCTATGCTCGAATCCGCTACTTTTGAAGTGCCACGTATCCGTATGTAAATGTCTATATCATTATCTCAACCTTTTGTGATCAACAATAGAATTTCCACAATTTTGGAAATACATTCGCGATCATAGAAATTGCATTACCTATTTCTTTTGATTCTTATATTGATAACCTTGATTCCATGCAATGCTTTTTTTTTTAAGTGAAAAGAAAACTTTGATAATGTTTCTCGTTTTAGTTGCAACTAATGCCAGGAGAAAAGCTGTAATTACGACCTGCATCAAAAATTATTCTAGGCAAAAACATTAAAATTGTGAAGTTACATGAAGTCAAGGAATTTTCACAGGAAATAGAAACAAGGAGAAGGTATCACCAATCAACGTTAGTTTCATCATAGATCGAAAGAAAGAAACTGCGAGGAGAAAAAACAAACGAACACTGTGTTTTTTTGACAGCTTGTTTTTTAGAATATCGATTCATAACTGGCAAAGAAATATCTAAAGACCTTGCAGTAGCAATCTGGTAAATAAAATAAAAGTTTTACTGGGTGATGCAAATTCTATGTCCGCGACTGGATGCCTTAACTAAAGAAACAATGTTATTGAAAAATATGAAACTAAATAATATAACATTTGGAAAATTATTATTAATTAATAATGACCGATTCCAACTAAAGACCAAACTTAAGTAATAGATATTGACGTGTTTCTGAATTTTCAAAAAGGTTACAGAATTCAATTTCATCCTGTTTCAATATTTTGCTTGTATTCGTTGCATGTGTATAGTTAGTATAGCTAAATGGTTTTTAGGTGGCCTAGAAACTTAAGCAAAATAAAGTGTCTACGCAGTTCCAACGACCACTCTTGGGCCCTCCAGATTAAGCTGCTGATTGGACTAGTCCTGAATGTCGCAATTGCGGATCATTGTATGATGTATCGACTTTAATCGGTTCAGTATCCGGTTTGAGGCATCTCCGTAAACTTCTCTACCATAATCAAACACCGGTCTAAGAGACACCTATAGGGTCTCTGCAAAGAGACTTTATCGCTGCCATAAGTTGAACTCGAATGTACCTTGATTACGTTATATCTTTTTGACAACTTGGACAATAACTCATCAACATGTATTTTCTAAGATAGTAAATGTTGGTAAAATCAGTATCTAAAAATTGTCTTTTCATAAAATAAACCAAATGAAAATAATAAGTTCTTCAGTCCGTCAACAACCAAATAATTAATTAAATTGATCTTTTAATTGGGTTTCAGTTTTAATTAAAATTAATATTTTAAGTAAATAAATAATTAATTAAAATGAAATTTAGCCCATAAATACACCGAACAATTTTTACGTACAGGGTAATTATTAGTTTTCATATAACCTTGGTTTTTTTCTCTTATGACGATATCGGGTAGTTGATTCAATTATTATATCGATTTACTAGCGGATCCAAGATATAATTTTGATGGGGGCGGATTCAGCCCGAAAGAATTTTTTTTTCATACACAAATCCCGATAATTAATTTCAAAAAAAAAGAAATTAACTACCTATATGAAATGTTGCTCAAGTGGTTCATGAAGTCCTATTAAATGTAATTACAGGAACGAGAATAAATTAAGAGATAGTTTTTCATAAATTTTTCCTGTAAAACATGGTTACATTTTACCATATCGGAGGGGAGGGGCCTCAGCCCGAAAGCCACCCACCCCGATATCGATTACAGAAATATTGTAATTGATACTCCTCCTAGCAACTTGTAACGAAGGGGTGGCGACTCTTAGGCAGTAAGCTTATGCCGCTATAATTTCATCAACAGATTATTAATAAATTAACAAGTTTCTACTCTTGTTAAACTCCAGAAGATCACAAATTACTTGATAGAATATAAATATAAATTGTTCAACGCCAATGACCCTTAGGGTAAAGACGGGAAAGTGAAAATAGATTAGAGAAAAAATAAAATCGCTTAAGGTAAGAAAAAAAATCGTGCTTTTTAATTTAAAAAAAAAATATATTGTTTCACATAGATCACTATTTAGCTTTTCAAACGTGATAAAAAAAAAAAAAAACGTCCTGTTGTTGTTTCCAAGGTCAAAAGACAAATCTGTTAAATCCCTTCTAACATTTCTAATGCAACAAAGCCAAGAAATCAAGTGCTGTTATAACGAGTTCTCAAATGATCATGACCTCAAACTTTTTTTAGGCATTGAAATATTCCAAACCAGTAACCAAAAATTACACAATAAACCAGATAACGCTTTTCCCTCTCCAACAGGGCTGTGCAAGAAACATATTCTGCGTTGAAACACTTGAATACCAAGTATGCTAATTGTGACTTTTACATATTTTAAATATTGATTATTACACATTCTATTATAAATGTTTAAATAATACATAATACGATTGAATTTAATCGATGTATTGGGTCGATCCTGGGGTCGGAAGACCGTCGTTGCCACACCCAGCCTCTACAATGTAGGTAAATAATTAATTAAGGAGAAAAATCTGGCGGTTGGGAGTGATCCTGGCCCAATCATCTCCCGGCACAACCAGTGCCCTTGAAATAGTACTTCTAACCAAGTTCTGAACCCAAACCCATAGATAGATTGTAGTGGTACGAGTATTTTATTTTTATTATTATTTTATGAATTTTCAAAATACAACACAACTTTTAGAGGTCATAAAATCATTTAAAAAAAAAACGACTTGAATAAAAAAATCTTCCAAGAAAGAATATGGTATAACATAAGCATTTATGAGTGTTGGTACTTGCCTATGAAACATGGGCCATAATAACTGAAGTAACATTTTGGAGAGCAGCCAAAAAGTTAAGATATGACACATGTAATAGAAGACTATCTCTTTATAGCCACAAAAGAATAAAGGTAGGAATGCCTTAAGGGCATCGAACAAAAGTCTACCGAAATAGATCGACAAACATTATGAAAGTAAGAACAGAAAAGGAGAAAATGAAAGTGAACAATGTAAGGTTAATGTTGAGATAAAGGTAGCAACAAACCCAAAATTGCCAAAAACATGGTTCATTCGAAAAATTGTATGAATATTTTAAAAGTATTTCTTAAACGTTAAATAAAAAAAAATCCATATGAGAAAATTGAGTAACTAATAATGTGATACTCATTCACTGTAATCAAATAAGTACTGAGCATCTATCCCATAAAAAAAAAAATTAATTAGTAATGAAATATTTATACAAAAATATAATCTTTACTGAAATGGCTAAAGCAATATTAACAGAGAAACGAAGAAACAAATATATAAAACCACAATATCTTAAATAAAAAATAAGTACAAAAAATTAAATCGATGATATAACTCGCTGAATGCAGTATGATGTATTCTTCATTCAGTGAACTAGATTTTCCGTTCAGTTTTTATTGCATGGTTAGAAAAAACAAGTTATGCTTTAAATATCGTAATTTAAATAAAATTAAATCAAAAATAATTTTATTCTGGGACTACAATCCCCTAAGAATAATAATAGAGTTCCATAATCATGAACAATAGCCTAGCTTAGATAATACAGAATCATGCTTAATTAACTATTAATCTTTCAGTTTATTTTTTTAAATATAAGTGAGACAAACATCGAGCATAAATTTCAGAACCGTCATTTAATAATATGTCAAATACATCTTGTAATTCTATAGATGATAATATTGCTTGATAATATATGGCAATATTGCATTATAAAAATTAAGAAAATTCACTTATAATTATTTGTTGCGATACTCCAGTGTATCCTTCTTCCTCATGATGTATTATGGAGTGAGAACCAGAACTTGTTAATAGCAAATTTTTCAAACTACAACTAACTACTCATATAAAGTAAAAATACATAGTATGCAATTAAATGAAATAATATGATGTTTAGAAACAATAAAGGGAGTTGGGTAGCTCAGTGGTAAGGTACTGAGCTTCAAATGCTAAAGGTCCCAGGTTCGAACCCAGGCTCATGGGAGAAAATTTATTTATCCGTTTTATTGTCAGTGGGGTGATTCTAGATCTGGACCCTTCTGGAGCACACCTAACCTCTATAAAGCTCAGTGGTAAGGTACTGAGCTTCAAATGCTAAAGGTCCCAGGTTCGAACCCAGGCTCATGGGAGAAAATTTATTTATCCGTTTTATTGTCAGTGGGGTGATTCTGGATCTGGACCCTTCTGGGGCACACCCAGCCTCTATAAGGTGAGTAACCTTAATTAAATAATTGGTTAAGGGGAAAAACCTGGCGGTTGAGCGTGATCTCGGTCAAATCACCTCCTTGCACAACCGTTGACCTAGAAACAACCTAAACTGATCCAAGACCCTTCATGGGTTATAGTGGTACTTTAGAAACAGTAATTGCACTATTAAAAAAAATATTAGTATATAAAATGAACTTGATTTTTTTTTTTCAAAAGCCAAAAATCTAATACTCTAGTTTGATTTTAGGTCTTCACAATAATAATAATTCGGTGTAGATTTAACTTAAGTTATAGTTACCATAGATTAGTTCCACAAAATAATAAATTGGTTGATGATTCATAGAATTTTCCAAAGCAGAATAATCTTCAGATATAAATTACACTCAATAACTCGGAAAGTTCACAATGTTAGTTGTTTGGCATTTCATGATAGAAAAATGTTTTAATTTTTAAAAAAATCAAAAATGGTTTGTTAAATAGCTGTTTCTCAAATCCTCAAATTTTCTCAAAATAAGGAGAAAAAAAAATTCTGTTTTTGAAAAAGCTAAATAGTAGTTAAATATAATAATATACCTATTTATAATATATATGTTTAAAAAACTTTTTTCAAGTTAAGTAAACAATATTTTAAAGATCTCTCTTACTTAAAAATCATACCCTCTAAACAGCAACAGCTCATAGACGTCCTTGAAAGACGGAGGGAGGGGTGTAAGGGGTAGACAGAGTGAGTATATAAGCGCTTCAGAGAATGGTCAAGCCAGATCAAACGGTCCACAACAACCAACAACATGTACAAGGTACTTCCATACCCTAATGTGCATGGACTAAAATTAATTGTTAAAAATAAATATATTACGAGTATTTAATACCTTCTTTTATGTTAATTTCAGGTAATCTTAGCCCTTTGCTTTGTGGGAGCAGCCCTCGCAGCCCCTCAGTACGGACACCACGAAGAAGAGCACTACGTCGATTACTACGTAAGAATTATAATGTTTTCAAGTTCCCTCCAGCTATGTGCGATAATTCCATTTTTATCAAAGCAATGCTGGTTGTATTTAAATAACCTTTTTTTCTTTCTTTTTTTTAGGCTCCACCTCACTACAAGTTCGACTACAGCGTACACGACCCCCATACCCACGACGTGAAGAAGCAGGAAGAGACCAGGGAAGGAGACGTTGTCAAGGGCTACTACTCCCTCTACGAACCCGATGGTACCGAGAGGATCGTCCACTACACCGCAGACAAGCACAATGGTTTCAACGCCGTCGTAGAGAGGAAAGGACACGCTGTCCACCCTCAGCATTACGGACACTCCTCTGAAGCTTACTACGGACACGGACACTCAGGAGGCGCCAGCTCTTCCTCTGGTTACCATCATTACTAGATTTCCAAATGGCATTTTGTAAATAACCACTTTTTATACTTTTCTAAAAAAATAAATAACTAAAAAAAAAATCATTTGCCTTTTTTTTTTTCATTTACCTTAAGATATTATGGATTCTTATTTAGATGAAAAAGTATAAGCACATCAATATATTCGTAATTCAGACTTATGTATTACTGAAAATAAGTTATCAAACTAGGAAAAATCGTATTAAATTGATATTCACAGTTTTGCTTGCTTTTCTTAAATCTGTGATTTAAATTAGGTGCTAAAAACTCGTAAATCTCGTGAGCTTTCCACTAGGATCGTAAGATAATTCGATCATAAAATCGAGAAAAAGGGTGGCCACAAAAATATTGCTCCGTTTGGCGTATATAACCTCGATATTTTGAAATGTAGATCACGCCAAACTGTTCAATAATTTTAAGGTTATTTTTTTTTCTCGATTTTGTGATCAAATTATCTTACGATTAGTAGAAAGGAAATAGGTATTTACGAGTTTTATTACTTAATTAAACAGACAAAGTTTGGAAATCTCCTAATTGAAAAAGCTCCAATTCCGAGAATTTTCGTAAGTAAAATAGTTGTAGATTACCATGAGATGAAGTTATTTACGAAGTTTCAGGCGTATGTTAATAATTTGATTAAAAAAATGTTCTGTACCACGGACTAATATAAAGACTGAAAATCCGGACTATTTGTAATCCTCATGATGATGAACAGTCAACTATTATCTTTTTTTTCTCTAGCGCCTCTCGACTTAGTAACTTAGCCCTCCAGCAGCTATGGAGCTGTTCTAGGCGTAAGCTGTGATCTTATACTTCTAGGATCCTCTTAGCCCATGGGTCTTATGTCCAGGGAGCACGTGGTTTATAATAACCGGACGCGATCACTCATCACTCCCTCTTCATCAGGGTGGTTGGCAACCATTTTGCTGACTCCCCATCCTGTTGTTTTTACTGGATAAGATTAATGGTTCTATACCCAACCCCCGATCTGGAGGATCAGGAGCTATGCTATTGGAAGAGTCGCTCACCTTCCTGTGAATCTCAGGCTGGAAAGTTATCGTCCTCATACGGGAATCGAACCCGCGCAGTACATGTCTAAGTAATCGAGTAGGAACTCCACTTATTTATTTTTACTTATAATTAAACATTTTTATTTTTTATCCTTTTTGTAGTTTTAAATCCCGTGAAAGAGCTTTAAAACTTGTAGCTTTAACATTTTATAATCATCTCTATCTTGATTATAGAATATAAATTTTTTTAACATAATTTAATTTTAGAGATTATTCTAGGAATATATATCTTCACTTATCTGTCTAGATAGACATACGTGGTCAACTGTCAAATAGTACCTCAATAAAAAGAAAAAAATAGCTGTATAATTGATAGGAATGAATTACGAATGAAGAGGAAATTACGCTGAGAAGTTGCTCATAAGCGTTACACAATAACTAGACGAAAGTTTGGTTGTCCGCACGTCCCATAACTGAAAATCAGTTTCATTCACGTCAGCCTTGTAACGAAACTGTTCATTAACAACTGTCTACCTCAAGTTGGAGTTATCCCATACAAGGCCATATACTACAGAAGGCATAATTACATAATACCCGTTCATGTATTTTTCAATGACAAAAATAATAATAAAAATAATATTAATAAACATTAAAAGAATAAATAAATACAAAATAAGGCCTAAAATTGGGCTGAAACGTTGTCACAAAGAAAATAACAATTTTCGTATGCTTTACTGCCTACAATCCCAACTAATTTCTCTTTATATAATGCCATCATATAAAATAAAAATACTTTCTTTATAATTAAAAAAAATATATAATATTTTGGACCAATAATCAGATTCTTTAAAATAAATTTGTGGGTTTGAATAAAGGAGGTGAACCAATAATCAAGATAGTTTGATTACAGGCCTTCATAATCTTCACCAAAATTTTTTTAATATTCTGTATATTGAGTTGTTTATATTTCAGAAATTTAAGAGTAAATCATACTAATTTCTGTGTAGGTTAAATCAAGATTTATCCATGTTCTTTTACCCAGGCATCTTATTGACAGGTTTTGTTTTTATAAAGGACGCTATTTTGAAAAAAACTCTTCCACTACATAAAAGTGTATTCCAAAAATAATAAATCAGAAATTGAAAAAGTCGCAAAAAAAAAGAAAAGATTTTTTGTTTAACAACTTTTAAATTAATAGTCGTATCAGTTTGTTGTTTATTCATAAAATTATACCAAATTGCGTTATTTATTTATTTTTATTGTTGCCTCTACCACGCAGGGTCATTGGCAACACTTCCTATTTATATTCTATTGTAGTACTATAGTATTTTTAAAAATTGTAAGTTTTTTTCCACGGCGTTTTCATTGTCAGTGAGGTTTTCTTTTAGGCTCTGAGCCATATCGAGATTTTTTCTTACATTCTTAAATACTGGGCAGTCTTGGATGATGTGTTGGACAGTTCTTTCCACCTTACAGCTCTCGCGTAAATCCCGACTGGCCAATTATTTCTTATCCATATTGTTTTAAAAATTATTTCATATCCACCTTACAGCGTACTTTATAGAATTATCTATTAATTATAACTTCCGACATTATGGAATACATCAATTTCTGCATAACCTGTAAACCTCTAAACCCCATGAAGGGTCTTAGGGTTCAGTACTATGTAGGGAAAGAACTGTTTCTAGAGCAACGGTTGTGAAAGGAGATGGTTTGACCGAGATCAGGATCAATCGCCAGGTTTTCTACCTTAATTAATTATTTAATAATAATAATAGTTTATTAATTCTGGGACGAGTCCCTTTACAATAATACAGAAAGACAGAAATGTGGGTTAAGGAGAGATTCATAAACAAAAATACAGAATAATTAAATAGTCATAATGCAAAAAATATAAGTTACTTTCTAGTTTGCATCATTTTATAGTAAAATATCGAAAAAAATAATGAAGAACGAACGATCTAATAATTTATATATATATATATATATATATATATATATATATATATACATACAGTTGTATATACAGTTGTATCTATTTACAATTTTATGGAGAATGGATGGATAAGAAATAAGAGACAGGCGCCCTACCACCACCCTACAAGTACCCAAATCCCAATTACTGCAAAATTAACGCTTATTACTCTTACGAAATAAAGAAATGAAGTTTAACAATGTTTGTCTGTGTTTTTTTTATTTCTCCTTCCCCTATTTTTGTTTGTGAGCAGAAAAAAAAAGATGAAAATGACCATAACCAGAAAAAAATGAGAAACAGAAACATTAATGTATTTTTTTAAAGAAAAATTTACATTTTATATTTTCTTTATTTGGCTGGTGTTCGATTAAAATATTTTTAAAACATCCTCCTCTAGCTTTACGTCGTTAAACATAATTTATTAATAATTTTGTTTAAACAAAAAAAAAAATTATCGCATAGTATAATAATAATATCCATAATATCCAAGCCTTCAAAATTTAAGACAACTTCAAACAAAGGTATCAACAAATTTTAAAGGTGAAATAAGCATTATATCACCCCCCTCGAGTAAATAATTTACGGCTGAAGAAATTTATGGGACCATCTTGATACGGAGCGGAAGCCAACTCGTCTTCTGAATGCCAAGGTAAAGGCCACTAACAACATTATACTTCGTATGAGACTTACTTTTCATTTACATGAAAATTAAGCTCCTTAAGCATATTATTGCTAGGTAGACTTCACTTTTAGATACATAAATATGTATTATTTTTCTTTATATAAGAATACTCTAGGTATTGTTTCATTCCTTAATGATCAACCAAATAACTTTTAAATAACATAGTCTGAGTTCCCTAACGTGAGCGCAAAACACGTTTAACCAGGCAACCGCGTCGTGGTGTCGAGGGGTGGGGGTTAACTCTGGCATTAATCTATCGCCCTTTCTCCTGGTCCGGGAAAAATCTCGTATAGCCTATAAGTCCAGGAAGTTGTGGACAAAAAAAAAACAAATAACTTTATTATATCTTTCCCCACTTTGACTACAGCTGTGTGGTGTACGATGGCCTCTCGGTGGAACTGCGTGATAGACTCAAAAGACTTATGAATTGCTTCGTAAGATTTGTAATCGGAACCCCGAGACGCTCCCGTGTCTCCCACCACTACACTGAGTTAGGGTGGCTCTTCCCCTCCTTAAGAAGACAATATTTCCTTGGCACTTTCCTTTATCAAATCATTACCGATCATCGTCCTTCTTATGCCTACAACCTTCTCCAATTTAAGTCCTCAATCCATTCACTCACTACAAGATCCCGACCCTCTGACCTATACATCCCTTCTCATAGATCTGCCTCATTCCAAAATTCCTTTATAGCCCGCTCTGTCAACTTTTGGAATTCCCTCCCGATCAAAATTCGACATGCCTTTTCCCTGTACACATTCAAAAACCTCCTATTCCAATTCCTGTTCCAAAAACAGTCAGATACCAGCTAACGATTAATATTATATATGTATTGTGTAGCAATCATATAATCATTACACTTGGTAAGAGATAGTACATGCATTTCCTACTATCGACGTAGGAATTTCAACACACACATTTTTTTGTATTTTTTTTTTTTATTCAATTATAAGTAACTGTTTATTTTCATATATATATTGTATATATATATGTTGTGCAACCCTGAAATATAATTTTGTTCATAGTTCAAATGATTCGTTCATAGTTTTAATTGTTTTATTCATAATTTTAAATGCTCTGTACATAGTAGTATCTGTATTGTATATAGCTTGTGCACCTAAGGTTTTCTTTACTTTTTATTTTATTTTATCAATTTCATTTATTGTTTCAACGTTCAGGCCAGTAATATTCTATTATTTTGTACATTATTGTTATTCTGAAGGGACTTAGTCCCAGAATAAAGTTTTTTTTTCTATCTATCTATCTATCTATAATGCATTTAATTATCAGTATGTCGTCAGAATATTTATGGTAGGTTCAACCGT